CTCAGCTCGGGAGGTCTTGCCAAGATTATATTTCCTGCTGTGCATTCCCCAGTATATAAAGAAGTGGGAAAGGAGAATGAGACAGCTCATCTACATGGCTACCTAAATGCTAGCAATTGATATCGTCTACATGTCACCCCATGATCCTGGGCTGCTGTCCAAAACACTCCTGCAAAAGAGCCAAAAAACTCAGAAGAATCAAGGTTTGCAGTAACTCGTCCCCATTTTGTCACCTTTGGTGCTTTATAAGCTTCCAAACATGCTCTGTATGTTCCATTATTCTTCACCAAGCATATATATAAGCATACTAGCAAAAAAGAATTATAATTTTAAAATGGAACAAGCCCATGTTTAATTCTGAGAAAATGGTGAGCCAGCCTTAAATCCTTTTTCCTTCATGCAATGGATTCAGACCAGTTCTTCAGCTAGTGGAATAACTCCCCTGCTCTGAAGAATAAACATGTTAATGAACAGCTCAGCTATTGATTCTTTTGACATTTGACTGTTTGGCAGGTGCTGAATTCAGGGTTTACTAATGCCGCTGTAGCTGCTACCACCAGTTTCATTTTTCCCCTTTATCAAAGAATGATCTTTATAAATGAAGATAAGTTCCTGACATGCAGAAAGACAACACAGAGTTTAACAAATGAGCTATGTGGAAGGAGGAGCTCTTTTGCACCTCTCTGCTACTGGAAGGTGCTTATAAACAGGAGTCAGTCATTCTGTGTTGGATTACATTTTTCATTGCTGTTTTCAGCAGAGACTCAGTCCGCCAGAAGCCGACATTCCAAAATCCCTAAGAATCCACCAGGTACTAAAGCAGAGTCCTTTTAGATTCCACAAAAATTAATCTTACCTCAGATGTTTTGCAAAAAATGTTATGTTCTACATATCAGTAATTTTCAGTGCAACTCTTATTTCATCAAAAAAAAAAAAATCCATCAATTTAATTTTGTGGAAGATATAATGAGCCTGGTTCTACATACCGCTTCTTTTATCAGCTCCAATCTCTCATTCTCCAGGGAAAGCAGTACAGAAGTGTCTTGTCCTTTGATAGCAATAGATAACTAACCTCATTTTGTAAAAGCAGAACTAAACAGAAGAGTTATTCTTTGTCTTCAGCAGAAGCAGTGAATCAGACCTCATTGCCTTGTACTGAACCCAATTTAAGGCAATTCGATGCCTTATGTATAAGCATCGAGAAGCTTACAGTTGTACAGGTTGGTTTTTTTTTTTTTTTGGCTCTTTATTTGGCATTTCTTTATGTAACAGGGTACCAGAAGGTTTTATATTTAAGAGGAACAGGACAAGTCATATTTTCTGAAACTGTATTTTCAGGCCTTCTGCATCCTTACCCATCTGTTATGTTCAGGTCAAATTTTTGTGTTTCTGTGACAGTAAGGATTAAAGATGTAATTGCTTTTAAAGCAGATATTTTCAACTCTTCTTAGCCACATAACCTGGGCCTTTAGATGAACACCTCCGTGCCTCAGCCTTCATCTAGCCAGTGTTAACCAATTAAAAAAAAATATTAGCCAAGAATAACCGTATTTATCAAAGATGCCTTTTTTTTTTTCTTTATTTTAGGTATTGTTAGATACCTACTGACAGACTAAACGAAAACCAGAAGAATTTCAGATTTAGAGACGTATTTGGTTACAATGCCATAAAGACTGTGATCTATATGTACCCCTGTCTAGACTGAGCTCCCATCGTGTAGGTAGGCATTACACAAAGTCAGTCACTTTCCTGTCCTGTGATGACTCCTATGATCTGAAGAAAGAGGAAGAACACTTGATGTACATCACAGAAATTACTTGGTGTGATTTTGTTTAAATGATCTGCATGACAGAAATCAATGTCTTTGTGCACAGTAGGTATGACAAATCAAAGTAACTTAGGACAAAATGCCTGTGTTGTACTGACAGAGGGAAAGTGAACTATCTGTACAAAACAGTGCTTCTCAGGCAAAAATAAACTGAAACATTACTTAAGAAACATTATGGAAATTCATATAAACAAAAGCTTCAGTATTACAATCTACCATACCATTTTTATAATTAAACGAGAAGTACTTCACACTTTCACAGAACATTAAGATGACTATGAAAACCACAAGCCTACCTGTCTACACATTCACACTAGTGTTACTCCGGTCCACTGACTTCAGTGGAATAACATCTGATTTACAGTAAAGCAAGGGGAGAAACAGACCTGAAGACTCAAAATAAACCTGAGGTTTTTGATGAAACATAATCCTCAGCATGAGATGCAAAAGGTGACTTTCCCGACAAGTGCTACCCAAATTCTTAATAGCTTTCTGTATGTAACCCCATCTCATTTCATCCTGACATAATCTTAATTAGTCTTAGTTCTACTGCAGAGAAGCCTACTGAGGCAGTTAGCACCATATAATTAATCAGATATTTTGCACGCATCACAGCAACCAACAGTGTCAACGTACTGATGGGAGTTAATACAAACAGAAATCAACCCTGCCTTTCCCTTTCACATGAACTAAAAGCATGTGGCATGGAATGAGCATATGACTATTTCTTCTATACACTGCTTAATGTCCTTTCTTCCCTTAGCAGCCATTTCCTAATGCATCATTACTCTCTGTAAAGCATAATTTATTTTTTTTTTTGCTGGTACTAAGAGAATAAGTCCAGCAACAGAAAATAATGTACTTACAAATACACAACGTACACACTCACTGGATTAAAAGTTTCATTGCAGGAGCCAAACGTCACAGTATTGTGCCTAATGTCACCAAGGGGGAAACCACATGATTATATGACTTGATGGCAAAGGAGCCACTGCTTAAGGAAAACAATTTTATAAAGCTGATTCTCCATTCTCCTAAGCTTAAACTGAAATAGTTCAACAAGCAGTATAAAACCACAAGAAGGTTTTGTACGGCATCAGTAACATGCTGTGGTATTTATTAACAGTAAATGCAATGTTTAATACATGGCAGTGTTTTGCTTCAGCAGAACACTGTAAAAGTACTTGTAAGAACAATTTAGTCCATAACTAATATTCAAGGTAAGAAAGAGTAGTCTAATGTTTTGCAATTTCTCAAATTCTCAAAACAAACCAGTGAGATAATAGTCTTCATAGAAAAGCAGTATTTAAATGATAGTTTATTTCAGGAACTGACAGTAAACTGCTTAACACCTTCTCTTTACAGTGTTTGTGCCCCAAAGCAGTTAAGTATCTAAGATAGGAATTATTAAAAATCGTGACAGCTCTAGTGTTTTCATTTCCAGTGGTATCTCAGTACAGGAACATGCACAGCCTATTCACTACCCGACACAAGGAGCCATTCACCATTATTATTGTTCAACCTCCTGGGGTGTGTTTTTGTATTTGAAGGCCTATCACAAGAAATTAGGCAGACTACTGGAATTGCCAAATGTTTCAGGTGCTGTCATCCACAATTGCTGCTCATCAAACAAAGGAATCTCATGTCTATTTCTCAGTACCTAATTGCCCTGCCTCTCCCTCCTATATGAATCTTCTTTATTTATTTTAATGCTGGAAGAATATTGCAATTATAACTCTGATAAGACTGCTACCAAGTTTGTTTTAACCTAACTAAACCAGCAGTAACTGAAGGTAACCAGCTGTTCCTTTTTGTTCCTCTTTTAGCAGATGGCAAATATGTTATCAAACAACAGAAACAAGGATATATGTATAGGAAGGACAGATAAGATGCTGGAAGTTTATCCCAAACAACTCAAAGCCCATCATCAAGCTACCTATATGCACTGATGCATCTTCCATCCTAAAGACACAGCTGTCCTTTATCTTCTAACCCTGAGCTACATTTTAGAATCCTACAGTCACCTATGTTGTCATATAATTCAGATTTCTCACTCTTAGTCTGAATGTCTGACATAACATACGGCTAGCATAACGTGCATGCGAGCCACAGTAGGTTCACGACATGATTTTTATTAGTAATTGTGAGGTTGTAAGTAGGATGTGAATGGGAAGCCAAGACAAGGGGCAGAAGGCAACGGAGGTAAAGTCAGATTCCTGGGGCTAATTTTGCCAGCAAGAGCTGTGTTTTAACCTGTGATTAAAATCTTAGTATGAGCAAGGCAAAATGAAGCCTAGACACAACCTAAACTGTTCCAAAGGGATTAGTCATCATAATAAGCTCATGATTAGACTGTGTCTACCTAAAGATTGTACACACCAAGAATTGTAGAAAAATGCAAGTCTGAGTCCGCAAGTCTTCCCTCATGACTTCCATTACTATCTCAGTTAGTCTGATAGTCATATCATCTAGACCAGTTCTAGTGAAACTAGATTTGCTACCTTTGGTGCTTCTTAATAGTTAACAATCGGCATATGCGTGGAAACACTGGTTTTAATATGTTTTCATTTAGTAAAGCGTATCTCTGGTCATTCTTGTCATGTACCTAAATTCATCGCTGTATATCCATGTGACATATCTGGACCATCTTCTCTCCAGCAGACCCCTAAAGCGTTGTATACATTATATTCTTAGACCATTATTGATGCCTAGACATCTCCAGAGTGTATCTTAGCATGGAGTGTCTCTGTCCAGTGACAGGAGAAATGCACATTTATGTAAAGTGGTGTGGGATTTGCAGTGTCACGCACAGTGGAAGGTCTTGCTTAACAGCCTACTTCATAGTGCCGACTTTATTTATTTTGCAAGGACTCAAAAACGCTGGCAAGTGTTGAATCTGCGGTTCCATGGAAACCAGGTATTCCAAATTGAATGCTTACACTGCTAACGCTATCCTCCAGACAATCTCTTTACAAATGATCAGTAATATGAAGATGTCTTCTTTTCATTTATCCATTCATTTTAGTTTCTTCAGAATAAACTTGTTTTCTAGGACCACCAGAATGTGCTACCTGCACCCAGAAGAACTTTGGGATGGGCTGCACATACTGATTCTGGTAATATGTATAGCAAGTTATGAAATAGAAAAATCACTTAAAATGATGGTGCTTACCCCGTTCTGTGTCATAGAGGTACACAAACTTTTCCCACTTATAATGAGTCAAGAGACTCAAGATGGCTCCTTTTAATGCTGGCCGCATCTGGATGACAAACTGCACATCTGCATCTGTTGGGAAGCTGGGTGTGACGAAGGACGTGTGAAGGGCTCCACAAAATGATGTCAGTGTGTTCATTGACATCTGATCATAGAATCCAAAGATAGCATAAACTCCTCTGGAAAACTGTGAACAGACTAACAAAGACAGACAGGGGTGTTAAAATCTGATATATAACAAACGCAAACAAAATTTCAAAGTATATTTGAAGCAAGCCTTCTAAGCAATCCTGAAATTATTCTGTATGATGGAGCAGATGGAATGAATTTATGTGATAATATATACTAACTTCAGTGTAGCTGTGAGTTGTACCAACTTTGTCACAATTAAACTGGCCTGAGCACATTTTTAATTGCGATTTGTCCTGCCATATTGTTATAATCCACTAATCTCTCCATATTCTTTAAAAACAAACATGGGATTACATTGCTTGTCTGCAAAATACCTTCCCTCCCTTGAGCAGAACCTTGACAGCTGTTAGCAGCTATGTAACAAACGTCAGGTCTGCCTGAAAGTCAAAATGTTAAGATGTAGTTTTCCCTGGTTCCCACTTTGATTCAGATCTGATACAAAGAAATGTGGATGGTTTATTCCTTTATAGTCCACAACTCTGAAATCTCTGTATGAAATCTGGGTGTGGTCTTTTTCAGTGAGAAATTATGGTGGCTTCTGAACCGAGTGTTAAAATCTTTCAGAAGCAATTTAGAAAGTGTTTGGCTCATTAATGACAACACATATGATCAACACATATTGTTGCTTCACGGGACGAAAGTTGATATCCCTTAAACTGGAAGCTTTTAGTCATTAACCATTCTGGTGTCCTGAGGAACTCATCTAGTACCAGAAAATAATCAAAATGCAGTCAAAGGTGTTCTGTTTCACACATACTTAACTGGGGAAACACTTCACTTCCCATACCTTATAGAGATTGAACAATGACCATTTTGGACAAAAATAAAAGGATTTCTATTTATAAACATGGTCAACTTCATGGGAGTTGCAGGGAAAAGAGTTTCTTTGTTGTTCAACTGTGTAGGAACAGAGCAAACTTCTTGTGACCCTGGGATCTTTCCATGGAGGGAGACTGCATCAGAGAGAGCGAGGGAGCCCGATATGTGAGATGCTGGGGCTCTGGTCCATAATAAAAATTGTACAACTGAAAAACACTGCAGCATAGCAGCACTTCTAACTCAAAACATTTCTGGACTGAGATGAGCAAGTTCCATTTGTAATGAAGATAAGTTTCCCAGAAAAATGTTCATTCAACATGAACAATTTCACTTGTCAAGAACTGGACTGAACAGTTTTCAACTAGCCCCATTAGCCACTTTTGCCAAAATGCTGCATATTTAACTTTGCAAAAAGCAAGGGCAAGTAATTAGCGGTAAAGAGGACATGACTTCTGCACAGAAATATACAGCATTCTTACTTCCGAAAGTACCATCATGAAACATTTCCTACCATAAATGCTACCATTCAGAATCACTAAAGCCTGTTAAAGTAATTTTAAAAAGGATTCTACACAGTATCAGCTCATTGAGACAGCATCATGGATAACACCTCAAATAGGTAGTCAGGTGTGAAAATTCGATTTTCTTCCTGGAGATCCAGATGCAAAAATAGAAATGCTATTAAGGAATTTCTTTAAGTGTTTAAGCCACTGTACCAGGACACGACCGGTTGTGGATACCGGCAGCAAATAACAGCTGGTGTAGACAGAAAAGAGACGCACATGAGGCACAGAGAGGGAATAAGAAGTAGTGATTTCTGAAAGAAAAGTTTGCAGAAGTTCTCAACCGCAGTAAAGATAAGATATAAAAGAAGTTACAATACAGCAAGAATTTATTCCCAGAGGCATGACTGAGGAATTAAATACCCTGTTTCAAAAGGCGTTTTGTTAAACTATATACCAGCAGGATATAAAGTAGAAAAGCTACCGTAAAAATTATCTGCTGAAGTAACAAATACAAGGCACTAACTTACAGGTGAAAAAAAGGGAAAAATAAAGACTACATTAGAAAGCCTGGCGGTCTCCAAATCATTCCCATGGCGTGTAAGCCCTCTAATTCCGTGGGAATAATCACCAAAGTGGGGCTAGCAGAGCTGGGTGTCCTCACACACACTGAGTCAGTACCTCACAGATCAGGCTGCTTTTACATATTTATTAATGGCCTAGTTTACTAGTTTTTAATGTAGATTCTGTACTGCAGAGAAAGCAGAGAAGAGCAAGTATTCTAGGAAACGTCCCTTCTTGCAATGCAAACAAAACGTATTCTCAAATGTCTCCTGGCCCTAAAAACCCAGAGTATTTCAAATGATCGGGGGTTCACCTGTTATTTCTTATTGGGTATAAGGAATCTCTCTTGGTCTTAGAGATATGGCACCTAGGCACTGTGGTCAACAGTTTAAAAATGGTTCAAGGTCTTTGTCCTTTGGACAAAATTCTGTTTTGCATGACTATTTTAAAACACTGAATTAAGGTGAGTCTATTTTCATAGCAGACTGTGCTCATTTATGCAAAGAGCCCATTCTCAATTTGTGAGTAACCTAAGAAAAAAAATCAGAGTCTGTGAACAGCCTGACCATAAGCAGGACCTTCTCCAAACAAGACCTAATAGCCAACACGGAGCTGCTGCTTGCCTGGAGCATCCCAGCACAGGTGAGAGCTTCTGATTTGGCCTTTCAGATATTTGCAACTTTTTTTCCTAAAAATTCTGGAGGATCACCAACAATATCTTCTAACAAGTACACCCCCCTGCCCAGTCTTATTTCCCCTGATTCAGGTTTGTAGTCACTGCAGATCTTCAAGATTTAACACTTCTACAGACTATCTGTCGTCTATTAGTTTTGAGAAATCTTCACCTCTTAAGCTCCTCTGCTCATTTCTTATAGCTTATTCTTCTTGACTATCTATTCTGCATGCACTGTAGGGTGCCAATTCAATTTTACTGGCCCATTTAAAAGGCAAACAAACCTTTGTTTTTGTAAGGAGAAGCTAAAAGGCCAATTATCTTGGTCCTCAATGTTCATTTACATTTTTGAACTCACAATTTTGTTACAATTTTGTAGCATTAGGTCTTCTGTTTAGTTTGTGACCTAATCTCCTGTGTGATCAGATGAACCTACTGAACATCCACGACCCCATAGCCATATTGTTACTTGTTTTCCAAAAACCAAACATGTAATCACATTCCATTGAATTAAATTATTATTCTAACATCACTGAGCCATAAGCAAAATTTAAAAAAGGCTAACTAAACCTTAGCTTTAAGCTCTTTCTACAAACTATTTTCTATTGACAATCAGAACAATCCTCATGTTTGAGTAAAAATTTTGGTATTTTTCCTTAATTAATCACAGTTGATTTATGTTTGTTTTTCCCTACTTGAAAAATGCAGATGGTCAGACACACACTTTGGCTGTCAAAGAAGTGATTTGGACAAATCCTCATGCAACCTCGTTCCTCAAAAAAAAAAAAAGCAATTTTTTTTTGCTGAGCTACGCCTTCATGAAACTGCTCTTAATTATAGTTATTAATCCTGTGGATGTGCAACCATTTCCAAGGACAGCCCATAACCAAGTTGCTTTACAACCTGAACTGAAAAAGTTGCAAGCTCCAGAAGCAAGGGACAGAGGTCCTGAGCAGCAGTTATCTAACAGGTGATCATAATAAGCCGTTATTTTGGCATTAGGTGCAAGGTGAGTATTTATGAACGGAGACTTAACTCTGGGCTTGTTCTCAGAGGAAGTTAGCTGCCACATGCCATCAGTTTCAGGAGAAGAAGGGATGGTATGACAGAAGCCTGTGAATTCTCAAGCATGTCAAGAGAAGATAAGGAACTTTCAGGTCATGAGAGACTGGAGTGTTTCCTGCCAAGGAAGGAAAATGCTCAGAGCCCGAGTGATCACAGTGGTCACCAGAATTTGCATTAAAAAAAAAAAAAGGCAACCAAAAAACCCAACCCAAACCCAAATAAATAAAAATCTTTGTTTCTGCACTGAATAGCAGCTGAGCCATCCTAAACGTCAGTATAACTCAATGAGTCCCAGCCTTCTGTTTTACTAGCAGTTCCATCCTCCCTCCAGTCAAATCAGCCCCACCACAGAAACTTGCTAAGATTAACCAGATGTGATTTTTTTTCCATTCAGACCTCAGGAAGGCTCCAGGCCAGAATCTCAAAAGATGCCTCATTTCACACAATTTATTAGATGTTTTGTTTCTTTTTAAAATTTATTTTTTGCTTTCTAATGGTATTTAGTTCTTCTGCCTTTTAGTGACTGTGAGTATTCCTGACACAGCAAGGTTGTATAGGCTCTGACATTTCTACTGTCTATTGCCTGGAAGCTAAAGTCAAAACTTCTCTGACACCTTTTTTTTTTTCCTTTTTTTTTTTTACTTCCAGTTCTTGCTATAAACAACTACTGAAGCGTTACCAGGAACATTTACAAGTAGCTTTGGATTTTGCTTGTTTAAAGAAACGATGTGCAAAGCCAACAAAAGAAATATGTTAATGGATGGATCTTAATACACCATTTCCACTAGATGATAACATTAATGACTGACTTGTAAAAGTCAAGCGTGGCACACAGTGCACTTCTGCCCAGGGGTGTAACAGCCTGATGGTTTTGGAGTCAGGGGTTGGGGGTTACAATACCTCAGACACTATTCCTTCTTCATTACTGTTTGTATGGGCAAGTAATTTCCCCCTTGTTCATATGAATTTCTTATAAAATAGGTCTGACAAAATTAACCTATGTCAAAGGGGCACCATAAGGCCTGCTTTATTGATAATTATACAGCTCTTTGAACGAAAGGCACTGTAGGAGCACAATCACAACTGACATTATTGCGCGTTACTCGTACCAGTTCCTTGGTTTTGTGTTCTGTGTTTCCCTCAGCTGTGAAATAATTTTATTCCCTCCACTTTCCTCTGCCAGTTGTCTTGGATTCCAGACAATTCTCACTGCCAGCCTCTGCCAACAGACTAATGGGACTACTTTATAACGGAATAATACGCAGCGTATCTCAGAGCAGTTGCTATTTTCTATCTAAGGCTCCATCCTATGACTTCCTTGCTGTAATAATACAAGGGTTATCACTAATGTCACTTCATACAGTAAGCATACAGGCTCTTAG